TTTGCTCTTCTCCCCACAGAACAGAAAGAAGTTTGCTGACTTTAAAAAACAAACAGAAAAAAATCAAAGAAACATTTCTGGTAGCCATGGAGAAGGCAGATAAGACCTGGGATGTCTGGACCAACTTACAAGCCGGCCGAGTGGGACACGTGGAGGCTAACATCAATGAAGGGGTTGAGACACAACAGCACTGCAGAACTCCAAGGGGGAGAGAAAAACTGCCAGAGATGCAGGACTTGTATGTGAGCAGGGTAGTGACAGTGTTACCTTGAAAGCCTAAGAGAGTAAAAGATGAGGAGGTCAGCATCATCACCTGTCCATACAGTAAAGGTCATTAAACCATCCACAAGAAAGCTCATTTGCCTGTATTGAATAAAACAGGAACTCTTCTCTCCATCCCGTACACTTTTTCCTGTGGAAAACACAGGGCAGCTGTACGCCTGGGTCACCGCTAGTTACCAGTATCTATCTTGGGATAAGAAGCCAACGGGGTTAAGGTGGGAGCAGAGTTTTCAATGCAGGAAGTAAGCCATCATGCAAAACTGCAGGTAAGAACAGTGGGACCAACCCACGCAGGCTGATCCCCAAGTCCCACCAACGCGGCACACGGAACAATGTCCAGGGGACAGAGGGGCTCTTGGCCAATGCTCGTGGGCTGAGCCCCGCTTCCCAATCCGGGCTTTTTCTCTTTCACTAAGCTCAGTCACTCTTGACTAGAAATGAGGCTTCCTGCCTTGATTTTGTTGTTTTGAGAGTTGGAACAGTAAAGAAAGGCAGAAAGGTGCTTCCTCCCCCTCCTAACGCCACTGCAGAAGGCAAAGCCACGCGGTTCCTCCTAAGAAGGGAGATGACCCTGTTGCAAATACTCAGTTTTCAAGAGTGTCCGATGAGGAGCAACTTTCCTGATATCTAATGCTGATCTCTGCAACACTGGCACACAAAACACAACATCCTTAGGAAAGCACCGCGTGTACGAGACGATAAAGCCCTGGCGATCCTGCTAACCCCCTAGTTTTAATGGTGCACTAGAAGCAAGATCAAATGACCCATTTAAATGCGGTTTAAGGATAAGGAATCCTTAAGATTTGCCCATTCTGCTGTAGAAACTGTGCTAGCAACACGGGCAAGAGCTTCCTGGACTCAAGGGTGCAAGGGGAGGCGGGGAAAGTGTTAACTACAGAGCAACTCAGGGCTTTATAAACAGAATTAATGCAATTCTCAGCCATGTCTGCTCAGAAGGCACAATCACGCTTGATCTCTGTTTGCAGTAATTACTCCTGCTTCCAGCAGTTTCACCTATAGCATGGACGGTATGGAACTGGCAAGTTTTCTTAATTAAACCGCTGCCATTGTTCACAGCAGTCCACAACCAGGCAAAAGTCCTGCTGGAGTCAACAGGCATTTTGGGCAGACTATGGATCATGCTTTCCAGTGGAAGATCTCAACCCAAAACGAGCTGTAGGCAGCCAGCCCAGAGCAGGTGTGACTGCTCAGCCCCACCTTACCTCCTCCTCTGAACAGGTGCCACTTCCAAAGCGTCCCTGGTCAGATGCTAGCAGGGACCATCCTCCCATCCTGCCCCAAGGAAAACGTCCGCTGGCTACCGCAGGAATTTTGCCTGCATTAAGGACCTTGAGTATTTGTTTTTAAAGAGAGAGGAAGACGGAAAAGAGATCATTAATAGCAGTACTACACACAAAACGGTGCAAGGACCAGAATATTCAGTCAGCAATGAAACACATCCTAAGCAACCTCCCAGGCAGGCTGGCGAGTACCAGCAGAGCTGAACAATATCCCTCCTCTCGCGACTCCGTGGGAGTTTGCCACTGACTTCAGTGAGATCCGACCTAACCACCGGAAAGGATGAACTAGAGGGTCACCGAGGATGAGGGGTTGTTCTTTGGTGCACGTCTCACTGTAGTCTTAAGACACAAGTTATACATACTGATCTCCTGGAGTATACTGTTATCCGGTACAAGACTAGATTTTTCTTCTTCCCCAAAGAAAAAAAGATGTCAAAACTGCTTGCACTTTACAAGATAACCACATCCACATTTATCTCTTTTCTAATCCATTGACTCCCACACTAAACGTGGCCAGTTCAGGAACAAACTAACAAAGAAAATTAACCCATGCAGCAAATCTACTTAATTCCTGTTGGTCTTCTTGTCCCAGGTTCCACTCTATCAGGCCATATAAACACATTGCAAGTTGCCAGCACAAAATACCTGCCTCTGCAGAACAAAAGCGAACCCAAGAAACCTGGGGGCTTGGGACTGGCAGAAGGAATCCTGAAAGGGGGAGTGCCACGCACAGAGATTTGCAAAATCAATTATTGCATCAGCAAAACCAAGCCAAAATAAAAAACAAAACCCCCAAAAACCATCCAAACAAAGCATTGTCAACCATTAAAATAATAAAAAACATTATTTTTTTGACATAGCTATAAAAATCAAGTCATTTATAAAACTGCAACAAATGAAGTCCGGTTGTGTATTCTTTTTCCTTTTATTAGACAGGACAGAGAATTTCCTTAAAATGCCATAACAAGTCACAGTGATTTTTAGATGGTTTTTTGAAATGTAATATATTGACGGGCAATACCTTTAACATGATTTAACTTGGATTTTTTTTTTTTTGTCACTGTAGATGTACCCTGGTCCACCAAACCATCTATCTTAAAGTTTCTTGTTTAGAGAGGACACTCTGTCTTCTTCCTCCAAAAATGAATTTTGTCTAATAATCCTGCAAAATAAACAACCTTACAAAAGGCCTTCTTCAAATGTTATATTTATATATATATGTATATACATATATATACACACACATACACACATATATATAAATATAGACTTCTATGATTTTTTTTCCCATTCTACGCAATGTCTCAATAAAGAGATCAGCAATTTTTATTCTACAAAGAAGCAACACATAAAAGGGGAAAATTAAAGTCTTAAGAACATCATATCCATATTTCACTGATTACACATAAAAGGAAAAAAAATCACCATGAACAACTGTCTTTGAAGTTTTCTCAGATTAGCAAAATTCAAGTGCAGAGAGGCCCCGTCTCTCGCTGCCAGCGGCAGGGGGGGTTTTGGGCGTGCCCGGCATCCTGCCACTCGGTATTTTCTGCACTTCCCTCCCGCGGAGTTGGACGTGGTTGGAATGTATGGAGTTTAGGAAAGGTTCCCAACAAAGACCTCGCCGTTGGACAATCCCCTCTAGGCCAGCTTCAGTGTGCTCACTGGGAACGATGGCATGGTCACCATAGTCACCGGATTTAGGACCGTTTGCCCAACTAACTGCGGGTGATGCACAACTTGGGTTCCTACAGCAGGCTTGGCCATCACTGCTTGCTGGCCAAGATTTGTGGTTCCATTCACTTGCTGGTGCGAGATCGTGTGAGCAATATGGCTCACCACGGGCTGGCTGACCGCCACGGGCTGAGGGTAGATGGGCAGCTGCTGGCCGAGGTGGGCCATGTGGTTGATGGTGGCTGGGTGCACAGTGATGTGGCCGATGGGCTGAGCAGCAGTGGTAAGTTGCACAGGGCTGGATGTGGAAGGTGCAATGTGAGCAATGTGCTTGGTCTGTGGACCCTGAATCACGTGGTTGACAGTTTGAATGACCGAAGCGTGGGTAGTGGCAGTGTGGGCAATAACAGTCGATTGCACTGTTGAAGCCGCCACGATATGAGTTTTGAAGCCGCCACGATATGAGTCTGTGCAGGGACGATCGCCTGCGGCTGGACCAGTGCTTGCGTCTGGATGGGAGGTTGTGCGTGGGCTGGGGTTTGTTTCTGCTGGATGGACAGGTGCTGAGGCAGAACGGCCGGGTGGTGGGAAGAAGCAGCGCTTGAAGGGACGGCTTTCAGGAGCTCTGGGGGCTGGCGCTGGGTTAGTTTTGGTAATGAGTTCACTGGCCTGTCATCTTCCATGTCTTCTTCCATGTTGTCTTCACCCTCTGGAAAAAACGAAAGGAAGAAACTCCCATAAAAAAGAAAGCAGAGCATGAACTGGACTAACCAGCCTCCCTAAAAGGCAGCACAGGTGGAAGAGACAACAGCAGGAAGAGTCACTGAGCTACGGGCAGGCGGCACGGCAAGCTCCAGCAAGCCCCAGTGGGGCAGCACACCGCTCTCCTCCCTGCTTGCGTGCCAAGGACCCGGAGCCAGGCAGGCGTGACTAGCTCGAAGCCCCAGCTAGAGAGGGGAGTTCACAACAGGCTGAGAGATCTCGCTCGGCAGGCAAGGGAAGCAACGTGAGCAGAGGCAGACGGAGAGCACCTGGGCTGAACTCTGTCTGGGCCGACGAGGGCTCCTTCTGGGAAGAGGAACAGGGTTTCCTTTCCTGTTCAGTTGTTCCACCGATCGGTACCATCCCTTCTGCTCCCAGAGCAGGAAGGAAACAGCCATGGAGAAACATGGCAGCAAGTTCCTCATCTGATTCTGGAAAATGGACTCTCGTCCAGTCCAGGAACTAATGAAGCAATGCAGGAACATGCTGACCCTGCGGAGAACAGGAAGATGAGCAGGGCACCTTGCACTGCCTGCTCTAAAGCCAGTCATGCAGTAGAGATTAAAAATCTCAGAAGCTACAGAAGCAGCAGGAAAAGCAGGGAAGACACTTCCCTTTTGCAAGCTCTGTGGTTAGTAGTAGCTTGAAGCAATCATTTTCAGCAGAGGCCAGCTGGAGAGGTGAATGGCTGACACTCCCATTGACAAAGCACTCCTACTCTCAACTTCCATCAGCCTGCACCTGGAGTCTGCGAGTATGTTCAAAGGTGATGAGCCCGACAGAAGCCTGAATGAACCAGAAAACTCAGGTTTTCCCTTCCTGGAACCCGCTGTATCATCTGCCCGGAGTGCCAAGAGCAAACACTGTCATGATTTGAAGGAACTGCTGCAAATGGTTATGGACTGCTACAGCCTCCTCATCTCTAGAAAGCAAAGCACTGTACGTCCACGGACTGCCTATTCTTCACTGGTACGGAGAAAAGCATGCACTCTCCTATCTCACAAAAACTTCTTACCAGGAACAGCACATCATATTCATTAGTACCATTTCGTCTTCACTGTCAATCCTTTCCACACAACATGAAGGCTCATTAAGTTGTTCAAATGCTCTGGCGATCCTTCCTGTACCAATTCCTTCTTCTCTATGTGGCTGAACACCCTCCCATATCCACGCACAGATACATCAGGATGCTCATACACCCCATTCAGTTCTAATGAGCAGGCACGCATAGTTGTGCAAGAGGAAAACTAAGTTTTGAAAGCAGGGATCTCCATGTGAGGTATCAGCAGACTGTATGTGCAAACCTGCACTTTGTATCTACCTAAGGTTGATGCACAATTTTCAGTTTACTTTACACAAGCGGCAGTGTATTATTAGGCCAACATCAATGACTACAAACCACTTGAAAACCTTTTACTTTACTCTGAATGCAAAGAAACCTTGATGGTGCTTAGTGAACATCCCCACCACCACTATATAACTGTGTCAGTGATGTACAGCGATGATTACAAGAAGAGAAAAATTATGAGTACCTGACGCTGTCGAGGTAGATGCCTGGTCATCCTCTGGCTGAACTGTCTGTCGAATAATTCTGTCAATCTCCAAGATGTCCATCCACTGGCTCAACTCGTTCTTCAATTCTGCCAGTCGCTGCTGGGTAGCAATCTTCTCTCTTGCCAGCCGCTCCATCTCATGTTCATATTCTTTTTCCTTCCTCTTTAAAGTCTAAACACAGAGGGAAGAAAAAGAAACAGAATGAGAACAAAGAGAAGTATAATCAACACTAACCTGATCACTCCCACGTCCATAGCTTGGGGTTTTTTTTTTAATTACCAGTTATGCTGGTGTAAAATGTGTTCAGATATAGTTACACCTTTCAAATTCCAGCAGAAAGAGAAAGGACAACAGCTGGCCACAAAAACCTAAAGGGTTACTTTGGCCAACTGCTTTCTGCCTTCTGAAGGAAAACTGATGAGCCTCCAAAACTGAAATGCTTAACCACATCAGGTTTGAGTCCCTTCAACTCCAGGGGTAAATTTAAAGCCCAAAACTCCTCAGGAAAAGCTGTAACGCTTTCTCTCTGAAAAAAACGTATTTCTGCCATTCTGAAGACAGAAAATGAAATCATCTTCCTGCATTCTTCCTCTTTCGCTCTAACCTCCCCACCAGAACTGAAAAATTAAGAACCAAGAGCACTGAACTATGACTATGACTCCTATCTCTAACGTGGAAGCCAGACCCTTCCCAGCACAGCACTTCTTCCACCCTGCCGACTTCCTAAGCCAAACGCAGGAAACTGATGGTACGGGTGTGCAAACACGGGCAAGAAAGACCCTCTGCAAGGACACCAACAAATTACTCATGGATGCAGAGCACTTGTGGACCATGAAGCAGAGGTCCCAGACAGGTATTTGCTGGAGGTGCAGCAACACAGACCAGGACTCCTCTCTTCTGTTTCAGCCCAAGGGAGCTCCTTGTTGCACTTCACCATCACTTTAGAGTGACAGAGGTCAGTACTCAGTTCCCAACATCAGCCTCACTTCACCTGCCTTATGAAGTATTTGAAGAGCAATAGGGCTTATCACAGACTGGTGGGAAGGTGCCAAGGGAGGGAAATGGGTGCAGTTCCCTCTGATCGCCAGGTGAGAGGACATGAGACCGCCATCAGCTAGCCCCTCGGAGAGTAGGGCTATGGAGTTTTTACTACGTACATCGACCTCCAAGCATCCCTAAGGAAAGGAAGCACCTACACAGACAGTAGCGCTCCCACAAGGCAACTAACTGATGGCCCATGGCTTGAGAAAGGTGGAAAATACCCCACATCCTTGCACTAAGACAGAAACCTCATGCAGAAAACTCTGCTCTTATGCAGGAAGGTAAAACCACAGACATATTGAAGTATTTCAAAGACAAGGTGCATAGGAAGAGAGAGTATCTTTTACTAAACCAACTGACAGTAGCTGGGGAAAAGAGACAAGCTTCGGGCACACAAGCTCAAGTAGGTCTACACAAAATCATGGTGCATTTCCGTAACCAGCACATAAATAATGGAGAGAGAGGGAACTTTTACACGGTCAGAGGAAAAGAAAGAGCACAAGTACTAATTAGCTTCTGAGCAACACACACCACACCAAGAGCTCCTGACCTCGGAGAGGTGGCTAAGAGCCGACAATACCCTGCATCACGGGGGAAATCCTGAAGCCAAGCGCAAAGGAACAAGTGTATGTTCTCCTCTTCTGCTAATGCCCACTCAGCGTTGGAAACCTGATATTTTCATCGGCAGAGAAGGGAAGAGATGCTGTGTCAGTCAGCACAGTACACAAAAATGCCAAACACTACCCAATACTATTAATAGGAAATATAAATCACATAGATCTGATGGGAATCAATTATTGAGCAGTGCAGCAGAAAAACAATAGCTGGTTTTCACAAAAGGTGTTGTTTTGTAAGATTTTAAGCCAGTAGTGTAACACTGAATAGTAACAGAACAGAGAACCTGTCCCCCAGCTCAGGTCAGCACTTAGTACAAGCATAAAAGAGACAAAGTAAGCGAAATCTCCAAAACCACATATAGCCTGTCCATTTTCTAAAGTCAAGTTTCGCCACTGGGAATCTAATCACATACACACTTCTGAAAATACCAGCTATACAGAGCTTGCACAGATGCTCTTTTTCACTCGCTGCTGGCAAGCACCAAATTTAAAAACAAACCTTACACTTAGCAGAGTGGCAGAGGATCAGACTCATAATCTTCTGAATACACGCTCTTTATATCTTTCTCGGGTTCTCCAGGACAACTGCAATCAGAACCTGACCTCATGCGTTTCAATGGCTCTGCTAGTTTTTTATCTCAAAAGTTAGCCAGGAATAACTTTAAAGCCTGCTCAGCCAGGCCTTTAATTCAGTCTAAGCCAACACAATGACTAGGGTAGCTCCTGCCTTCTTCTTATAGAAAAGTAAAATGGAGGGGAGGAAAAAAAAAAAAAAGAGAGACTACTTTTGTCCCAATAATAACAAAAAAATGAAGTATTTTTAAAATGGTCAAACAATGCGTATCAGCAGGGCACAATCATTCCAGATGCGTAAATGGAGACAACTCCTCTCAACGAGGCTTATGCTTTGCCTCCTGGCACAGCTGGCTTTAGCTCAGCTAAAAGCCTCTCCAAACGCACGGTTTTCAGGCAAACAAGGCAGTTCTGTCCCTCTCGCTGCTTTTTAAATCATAAGCAGGCAGCAGATATGCCAACTCCTCAACACCATGGTTTTATACCGGGAAACCTGAGCAGACCTGTAGCTACCGCAGTGAGAGGAGGCACTGGACAGCAGGGAAGGTCTTTCGGTGCAGGAGATGTGGGTAAGCGGGGACAGGGACTCCCAGAGTCCTGGCTCTGCACCAGCGCTGACTTCGAGCCCGGAGATTCACACACAGCAGAAGCCAAAATCCATACCCTGCTTTTAAAGTCTCCTATCCTACTAAGTGCGGCCAAAGCATTTTGCCTGACCCAGAAAACACAGTCGTGCCACGAGTGCTTTGATTTCCTTGCAGCCAAAGGGATGCGAGTGGGACACGGAGCGATGGCGTGGAAAGCTAAGGCAACAAGAAAGGTGCACGCTCCTGTGCTCAGATTTAGATACGCAAGAAAATATGCAAGAAACTTGTCTGAATGTCTTCCCTCTTACTATCTAATCAGGAAAGAAGCAAGCAGGAGAAAGCCTGAGACTTAAATTGCTGCGTACAGACGTGAGCCCAGCCCCTCTGCAGCATTTCTCTCCAAACATGCCCTCCACACAGTTACTCCCAGGGCACAGTAACGAAAGGACAGAATACAGTAACACAGCTTTCCAGGAAGAGTAAGCAAGAAATCCACGCAGCCTCAGCACCCGTACTGTGCACAGCACAAGCATATTCAAGCAGATTTGGCTTCCTTCCCCGCTGCAAGAGAAGACTCCCAGCACCAGGGGAAAGCATGACTACGAGGTTTGGGCAGGGCAGCTGGTAATTAGTTACAAATTTTTAATTACTGAAAAGGCAGGCAAACTCTTAGCAAGCACCGGGACGAGTCTCCCAGCAAGCCGAGCCAGGGAGTTTGTTCTGTCGCTCCCCGGGTGCTCCGCTCCTCCAGCACGGGCTTCGGGACGTGGCACCGCTCCAAGCCTGGCCCCACGGGCTCTGCCTCCCTCTGCACTGGGGGCAGCCCCAGCCCTCCCCGTGCTGGGAAACGGCCAGACCCGGTACCAGCTCCCGGTAGCTGCTCACCGTGACCGCACACTCCTCCCGGGGCTCCTGCAAACGTCCCCCCCCCGGCCGGTGTGCTGGCAGGCTGCGTGCTCTCCAAGGGAAGCTGCTGGGGAGGCTGGAGGAGCAGATGGGCTGGAGTCTCTGCTGGCATCCTAATCTTTCAAAAACTATTCCAGGATGCAATCCACTGTGGCTCACTTGGTAAAGACAGATCTCCTGGCTGAGCTGCTACTTGGCCTAGTAACGAACTCGGTGTGATTAACTGGAGCCTTCCTCCCTCTCCAGCTGCTCCTCCGCGGGCACCGGCTTCGCAGGGCGAAGCCCCCTCCCAGGCTCTGCAGGGGCTGTGTGCGTGCCCCGCGATTGAAGGTGAGCCCCGACCCGCCGGCCTCTGTGCAGCAGAGCCTGCTGGAGAGGGGACAAGGAGCAGGGACCCTCCCGCCTTTGTCCTTCTTCCCACCGTCGGCCGCAACGGACAAGGGTGGGCGCACGTCTCCCTGTGTCCCCTCTGACCAGCAGCCCCTCGGACAGACGGCCATCTGGCATCTGCCTGCCGACAGGTTATTTTCTGCAAATCATCCTGCCCACGTCAGGTGCCAGGTTTTCCCGTCAGTCAGCAGAAAGTCTACAGCGACAGCCAAACCTTAGTCAGTCTGACTTTGTTCGCCTACCTACTCCCAAACAGAAAACACCTTCAGAGACATGCGCTTGTCTCCAGCACTTTTTTTCTAAAACAGGAATTTCTTACAACAGCAGCAGTATCACAGTGGATCCTACATGATACAAAGGTAAAAAAAAGTCACAGCAGTTTTAAAATAAGAAGCAACCACACAGACACTCCTTTCACCAAACTCAAGCCTTTGGGATCTTCCAACAGACTGGCACGTAAGGCTAGAGCTGAAATGGGGAGAGGGGACCCTGAAACTATATACATCAAAATAACTAATTAAGAATGAAATTTCAATAAAAGGAATTCATACAAATGCCCAACCACCTATCTTTCAAGGTCTGAAATTTCATTACTGCAGAGGCACATGTGTCTGGGATCGCCACACGTCAGTAAGTCCATCCCACCCACCTCCCCGGCTGCCGGGAATGGCAACGGTGAGGGTTCAGACAAGGTGCTGCCACCTGGGATGACAATTAAACTGTCTCCAAGATCCTGAAGGATACACATCCCCAGGTCTGACCCACATGTGAAGACTCAAACCCTTCTTCCTGAATTCCCTCCCCAGAAGATGCCGTCTTCCTTTCACTGTCTCGCTGTTTCTCTCAGGACATGGTCCTGGCAGCAGGGGACAGGTCTGGGGTCCCCCAGGCTCCTGGAAGTCACTACTTTAAGGACGGTTGCACCAAAAGGTGAGAAATCCTGAGGAGAGTTCAACCCAAACAGCTTTGCCGGTCAGAACAGGAAACCAGCTAGCAGGCAAAGAGGGCTCACCAAAATGTGCCTTTGCCATTGCCAATACTGGCAGATGCAACCAAG